CAGCAGTTGACACAAGACCCATAGTTCTTCATTTAAATTTATGTAGATAATTGCTGAAGCAATCAAACTCTTTAGAGGAATTTCCAGGCTCTCTCAAGTTTAACCTCTTTCACCACTTGCCGGTGAACACTGACTCATTCGTGCAAAGAAATAAATGGCTGTGCTTATCTCAGATAAGTATTTTTTTCAATTAGGGAATCATCTTTGTAATAAAATGAATGTCTAGCATTGACTACTTCATACATATAGTTTAGTTTGATAACTTTAAATTACTAGTGGTAAAAAGCATCACTGCATGACAGTGAAGTTTAATTTAGTAAAAACAAGGAAACAGTAAAATGACTGAAAGCTTCAAACCAAACAGAAGTCATGTTTGATCTCATACATATTTACCCATTCCATATATCTGGCATATCTAGTCAAACAGACTTAGCTTTTGCAGACCCCACTTATGCGTTACATCGGTTTATCTGCATGATTTAAAAAATATTTTACTAAATAAAGGGGAATGCAATTTCCACTGTAAATGAGCATGTGTAATTTTTACACTGTCCTATCAAATAGCACCTATGATCCATGTATTATGAAAACTCTAGAAATACATATTCTTTTATATATAAAAATATAAAGAATATTCCGTCTTCCAGATGAGATGTTAAACCGAGGTCCTGACTCTCAGTTGTCATTAAAGATCCCCAGGAATTTCTCGATAAGAGTAGGGAGTTACCCCGGTGTCCGAGACACATTTTTCCCCTCGGCCTTTACTGTGGCCTCCAAGGTGTCCCTATGAATGATTGGATTGCACTTGCCCTGCCATGGACTGGCACCCCGTCCAGGGTGTAACCAAGAATAATTTCTGTTGAAGTTCTGCTCTTTCTAGGGCTGTAATATATTTTCTGTGGTATGGTGGCCACAACTGAATGCAGCATTCATAAGTCTTAGTAGTGCATTGTAGACCTTAAGCATAATTTCCTTTGATTTAAAATTCTAGATAAACCAACACCATTAAAAATTCCGAATTAAAAAGTAGACTGCTTTCTGAATGAAGTTTTTTAATAGTTATATCATAAAAAAAAATCTTACAAGAACATAAGAAAATTTTATAAATGACAAGAAACCATTTGGCCCATCTATGTCACTAGTAGCTTACTGACGCAAAACCTCACCCAGCTGTTTTGTGAAAAAAGTCAGTATTTTTTTTGTCTTATTTCACAGAACTTATGCCAATCAAACTAAGACTTAAAAAATAAATAACTCCAAATCACTTGAAAAAAATTTAGAAATTTACCAGCATCTTACCAATTTGCTTGCTAGTATTTCCAGCATCTGTACACCAATGCTGTCTGCAACAATCACAGATCACAAAATCAAACGTATCTTTTATATGGATGTTTTTGTCTAATGGTTAATCTATTATTTTGCAAATAATAAACCAAGATATTGAAAATACTAAAAGAAAGATTTAAGTTAGCTCATAAGAAAAAAACAGTATCTCACAACAGGGTGTTGTTAATAATAATAAAGTAATAATGGTTTTAAAATTAACAAACACACCATAGCAAGTCTGAAAGCTATATTTCGTCTACAGTAGAAAGACTAACAATCCCTCAAGAACAAACAAATTAACAAACTTTTCAATTTTAATGCCCTTAGCTGTACAGAAACACCGAATCGATGTAAGTCTACTTATTTTGCATGAATTCTACAAAGTATTAGTAGAGAAAGCTTTGAAAGCATAATTTCCAAACCCTCAAAGGTTTGTTGAAATGGGACGCCTGTCAAGTAAAGCAAGTTGTGGGTTCCAGGTACTAAGCAACACTTCACTCAGAGCCAGTAAGGATAAATGCCCATCTGTGTAGATATAAATTCCGAGTAACATTGGGTAAAAACGTCAGATCAGTCTTTTAAGTAAAATGTAAAGTAACCCTAAACCCCCACTGAGTTGCCATTACTTTATATACGCCAAACAACTTTGAAATTAAGCCCTTTATTCCTTCAAACTGTCTACAGTCTCCTTTTAAACTCAGGTAGCATTTAGCAAGTTAAACACATCACAAATAAAAATGAGAATAAAACCAAATGTATAACGGCAGAAATTATGAGTGCCAACCAGGGAAAGATGGAAAACGCATCACCTTTCAGTGCATAGTGCATCCCTCCAATTCCGCTGTATAATTCCAGAACCTTTAGGTTTTCCATGTTGTCTCACCGGCGATGGACGTCACACAATGAGTCCGCAACAGTGACTTGTTCCTCAATCCTGCGAGCGCTGAAAAACGTTCCGACCTTGGTGGACTTTTAATTCCCCTCACTTAAGATCAGCTCTGTTTTGTTGCCGCCTGTACCGATGATTGAGGATCTTTTCATTTACGATAAATATTTTATGTTTTTTCTTATATTGACGTCAATATAGCTGTTTCAATTAATATTAGCGAACAAGTTACTTCCACAGGAACAATTTTATTTTAAAAAATGTTGTGGCATCAGCCATATTGTGTTTTAAGTGTAGATGTTGCAAACTGCACTGAGAGCATTTAAGGTCACCATGCTGAGCGGCATATTGTAAGAAACATGATGTGAGCTAAATATATTAAGCTTCTCTCTCCCCGTCTGTGTGCTTGTGTGTCTCACGGGAGAGCAAGCTGGGGTATGCAAAAAGACAAATTCCTAATGCAAGAAATTGTATATATGGCAATAAAGTTATCTTATCTTATTTGACTGCTATCCATCCATTTTCTAACCGCCTCATCCAATTAAGGGTAGCGGGGGAGCCGGAGCCTGTTCCGGCTCAGAGGGATTCAGCTAGATGTGACGCCAGTCCATCGTCGGGCACACACAGACACAGACGTATAAATATATTCACACCAAGGACCAGTTTTCTCAGAAACCAAATAACCTGCCAGTGTGTTTTGGGACTGTGGGTGAAAACCACAGTACCCGGAAGAATCCCACACAAACATACCGAGAACATACAAACTCCTCACAGATACCATCATAGCACCCCAGATCCAGAACTGAATCCAGGGCTCCGGTGCTTCGAGACAGCAATATTAACCACTGCGCTACCGTGCTGTTCTAATATTTCGTTTTTATTTTAGTTGGGCAACCTTATATCAGAATCCTGTATATAGGTTTATCGGGGGTAAAACACTGTCCTTTTTGTTAGGCTACGTCATGCTATATTATTATTAGTTTATATTACGTTATATGACGCCTTTATTAGCCATTTCTGGATTATAGGGCTAGTAGCAGTTTCTATCAGGTGTCTACTGATTTTCCATGTGTTTTAAACGCTTTAAAATTACACGGGAGTAGTATTCTACGTGAAGTATAAGAACTGATTATAAAATCCTTATTTAAAAATCTATACGTTTAATGTTTGGGCTGAAATGGAACATCTAGGGGCGAAATTAATTAGATCGAGCATTTGCCACAACAGGTTTTCGTAGCCTTTCTCATAAAATTAAATTCCCGTATTCACTCTTTGTTTTCCACGCATTTGAAAGGTCATATATGAGTAAACTCGAATTCGAATTAAAAGCCAAGTGAAACGGTAACGTATTTTATTTATTAGCAACTTATGCAACGGAAGAGCTGCTAAGAGACCCATTTGTTTTCCCCAGCAGCAAAACACATACATTTGAAACATCGCCACACCCTTTACAGGGCTCCGTTGAGTAAACCATGTTGGGCAGAAGTGAACTGTCCTGCTTTAACAGTTACTGTTAGGCGCATTTCCGTAGCAAAGTTTTAACCAGAAACTAAAGAACTTTATCATAAACTTTATGGTATTAATATTGTTCCCGTTAAGGATAATAATAATAAGCATTCCACGTTAAACTAGCTCTTACGAGCAATCACTAAAACAAGCGACACATCGTATATTTAATCTTTGTTAGATGACTATACTTGTAACATATACTTAACAATTTAAGTCGCCATACTATTCAATCATTGACCTGTGTGCGCTACTGTTTCGGTATACATCAGAAAAGTACCAAAACACAACTTCGTTTTGTCCTGTTACGAGCCCTTGAAAGGGAATGTAGTGTTGGTATCACAAGTTCTCGCCTTCAACCAGAAATGTTGGACCCAATTCTGCTCATATAGCGGAGGATGAGTGTATAAGGAATTACGTAGTCTGTACTCTGTACATATTTACTGTATATCTATTTTAAGAATTAACATTTTTAACCGTTTTAACTTTTAATTATCTACTTGTAAATTATTACGGTTTTGTTTAAACATACCAGTCGGTGCTGTTTAAACAGAAATGAGAAACTTTCTTTAGCATATCAATTGATTAAAATCATAATGTGCGCTATGAATGTACAGTATCGGTATATGTTTGCCTTCTTAATATTCTAGCTACGTACGGTATAATCATCCCGAGGTTTTATGATGGTAGTTTGTATTATGGTGCTTTTATTACTTATATTAATCATGTAGGTTATTCATAATTAATTAAATGTTTTCCTTCCAATCTTCATAAATCGTTTTGTGCAGTCAGTTTCTCAGTTCTGTTTCAGGAAAGAAGCCGATGTGCATACATCGCCTTGTAAAATACATCGCCCTAAAACTAAATCAAGCTGAAAATGGATTCAACAAATGTGACTTAGAAGGGAAAGGAAACCACTAATGCGTTTCGTTCTGCGACTAAAATTCATGACGTTATTTCTCGTTTTATGTGAGTGTTAAAAATGTAAGTCACCATAGACCTCAGTTTGGATAAAATAGTAAATAAGTAAAGTAAATAAGTAAAAAAAAAAGTAAATAACCCTTTTACACTATTCATTCTCCGTTTACTCAACTTCTTGTATTTTCCACCCAGAAAACTCCACGACATATTTCTGAAGTGGGTAAGTCTCTCAGAGCGAAGGGCAGTGTCCAAACCTCTCGTCTCCACTTTCAGCTCTGTAACTGGTTTCACGGGGCGTCAATCAACTCCAGGTACCGTTATCCGATTTGCATAATAAACGGACTATAAAATCCGAAGGGCAGCTCCCACTAGATCTCGCTGGGGCTGATCTGCTGGAGTGTGGTGTGTTTGAACAGCTTGGTAAACTTACCGACGTCCCAAAAGAAAATAGCACTAAACAACGAGGAGGATTACAAAATGTCCAGTGTAACTAAAAGGCAATCTTCTTCCTACAAAAGGATGTTTGGTGGAGAGAGACCTACCGTCTCTCGTACTTCTTACTCAAGCCGCCAATATTCCAGTCCGATTCGATCCAGGGTGTCCTACAGCGTGTCTTCTGCCCCGGCCATCTATGCGACCAAAACCACTAGGCTCCGGAGCAGCGCTCCGATGCCCAGGCTGTCGACGGACGCTTTAGACTTCGCCTTGTCCGATGCCATTAATACTGAATTTAAAGCCAACAGAACCAACGAAAAGGCGGAGATGCAGCACCTTAACGACAGGTTCGCCAGTTATATCGAAAAGGTGCGCTTTCTGGAGCAGCAAAACAAGATCCTGCTAGCAGAGCTGGAGCAGTTGAAAGGCAAGGGGACCTCGCGCATTGGAGACCTCTATGAAGATGAGATGAGAGAGCTTCGTAGACAAGTGGACCAGCTTACCAACGAGAAAGCCAGGGTGGAGGTCGACCGGGATAACCTAGCTGATGATATCCAGAGGCTAAGGGAGAAGTAAGTAACCAGATTTGACGCCACAATGAGGGTTGAAATGATCCAATACGTCAAACTGTTTTAAAACTAGTAATAAGACCGCAGTATACGATATTTGGCGATATCTCTACATTATGTCTCACAATTCCATCCATTTTTATTACGAAGATAACCAAGTTATTGGATATATAATTTTAACTTTAGGCGGTTGTCATTATTTCCGAAATGGTAAGATTCGTTCATTGCAGTAAAGTGCATACTAAATCAACACTGAATCCTGGAACTTTAAAATGGCAGGGTTCAAAGCAGAGCAGCTCATAGTCGCTCATTTCTGTTTTTTTGCAGCGCAGGATGCGTAAACCGGGAGGCAAGTACTGTATTAACTTTCACTGCAGTTCACTCCAGATGATTCAAATGTCCATAAAAGATGCAGGAGTTAAAAAAAATCTAGGGTTTTATAGTTGCATCCATTTCGCCGAAAGTAAGCGACTCAAACTCCAGAGTAACCCAGGTTGCTATTTGCTCGTGGGTTCTTCCGATATTTCTGTTTCAAATGAATGAGCCAGCGAGTTTTAAAAATGCTCCTAACTTAAGAGCATTCCCTGACGTAAGTGTTTTCCCATTATTTCAGAATCCAGGATGAAATGCTTCAGCGAGAGGAAGCAGAGAACAACCTGCAGAGTTTCAGACAGGTATGCGATCTTTGCCAGCAGTAGTGAAGTTTGGTTCAATAACTTACTGCGTGTCTTGTAACCCAAACGAGCTTTCTATGTGCGATCCACCGGTGTTGTATCGCCTCCGCCACAGCTCTAGTTTGTCGTGTCCGTGAATGCAACGTGAATCCATCTTTGAAAACGGAACTTTCTCATCTTTTGAAAACAGTGACCCTTTAATCTAAAACTGTAGCTTCCTGTTTCTTCTAGTTGCATTTTGAAATGGTTGCTGGATGCCTTATTTCTAAACGTCTTTTTTTTAATGGGCACTTTAAATATCAAATGCTTCAGCAGTACATCGTTCTTCAAACGTGGACTTGTAAAACTGATTTTGAAGTCTGCATGGGAACTGTACTGTCGCATCAGTATATTCCGGCTTCTAGGGCTATTTGATCAACTCGCCAGTTTCGGTTTAGCGGTTACTTGTAAGTGCAGATCTAGTCATTAACTCCTGAAAATCTAAACTGGCAGGTAAAAGGCACATTTTGGACAACTGCAGTTGTCCTGTGTGGAATTTAGCCCTATGGTATAAAGTCAGACAAAGTGTCTCTGGTATTAATACTTTTTCATAAAAATCCCTGTTAATGTCTGTTAAAATTTATGTATTGGGATTTGCTGAGTGTCTTAAAGTCCCTTGGCATTGTGGCTGCATTTCTACAGGTTAAATGTTATCTAGTGCGTGGCGTCTTATTCACATTATGGCATTGTGCCAGGGAGAAGGTTAACTGGTAACTTCAAGTTTGAATCCGCTCACGATTAGAGTTGAAACAAAACTAGTCATTAGGGGCTGCAACTCAAGATGGGCAAGTTCCCAGTTTCATGCTGGTGTCCAGTGCTTCTGTTTGTAGTAAAGCAAGTTCCTCTAGATCACTCAACTGGAATCGTTAAACGGATCTGTGTAACAAGTCATGGATGTTAAGGGACTTTGAAAATGGCTTGGAACCAAGTTCTTCTGTGAAAAGCATGTCAGGGAGCCATGTGTTGTGCACGTTCAGATAGCAAAATGGTTAAATCCTATAAATGAGAAACCCACTAGGTACATTAACTACAACACACATGCTATGCAAATAAACATACTCTTAAATACAACTTCAATATTAATGTAATGTGGCATTAGCCATCTTAAATTTGAGGTCATTATAGTGATGAACACTACAGGGCAGTATACTACTATAGCAGTTTAGACTGCTTTAAGATTTAAAAAATGGCATGACTCCTATTTGGTAGTAATGTTTTGTGAAGAAATGTAAATACTGATGGTATGTGCTTGTACGGCTGAATGCTCATCGTTGGATTGACAGACATCTGAGGTTTTTAGTGCAGTTGTGCCACATTTTAGGTACAAAACTTTCAATATTGGCAAGTAAATCCTTATGAAATCTAATTTAATTAGGATGTTGACAATGCATCTCTGGCCCGTCTGGATCTGGAACGTAAAGTGGAGTCCCTGCAGGAAGAAATCGCCTTTTTGAAGAAACTCCATGATGAAGTGAGTTCCTATTAACTTTTGATTTAAGGGGTTGAAAAACAATAGTTTGATCCAGTTATGTATTGATGATGTTGCAAAGAACTGTTTAAGTTGATAAAGCCAAATTAAAGTAATGGACCCCCCACTATTTGGTGGCAGGGGGAAGCTACAATTTATTAACTGCTTTAATAAGCACTATGGCTACTCTTGCATTATTCCCAGTAAACTCAAAGCTAGTCTTTACCCTCCTCCTAATGACTTGAACTGTGCATTGACAGTGACTGATACTTGGGTATGGAAATGATCTGAATCTTGCATACAGAGTAGCCTTCTGGTGAGTGTAGCTGAATATCGGCTGAAGTATAATGCTTTTCACAGGAAATAGCTGAGCTGCAAGCCCAGATTCAAAATCAGCACGTCCAGATTGACATGGATGTGGCCAAACCAGACCTCACTGCGGCTCTCCGTGATGTACGCACACAGTATGAAACTCTGGCATCGAAGAACATTTCTGAAGCTGAAGATTGGTACAAGTCCAAGGTTAGTCTCCCTTCCCTGCACATGAGGATTCTGATGAGACTGTAGCCAGCTAGCTACCCTGTGGCTTAAAGCTGAGAAGTGAGCTTATCCCAGGACTTGGGAGTTCAACTATATCACGGTCATCTATAGTACACTTCTTATGTTGCAAAGGAACAAGTAATAGGAACAAGTAATAGGTTTATTCCATGCTGAAAAGTTCCAAAAGCATGCACAACGTTTCGGCCGTGGAGCCTTCTTCAGGTACGACACACCTGAAGAAGGCTCCACAGTCGAAACATTGTGTTTTCTTTCTTCTCTTTTCAGCATGGAATAAACCTATTGTTCCTTTGCAGCCTACGCATGCTGACGCAGCTACCCACCTGAACCACTTCTTATGTTTACCTATGTGGATTAACTTGTTTTCTATTGCTTAATGTTATGGGGCACCTTTTCAATTCTACATAATCTACTTGTACCACTTCTTAATTCCTCATTTTTAGCATGGTTACCCCCCTCCTTACAAGTGTGTGACTTTAGGTAACTCTTAGATTGCCAAATGCTCTTTTGGGTCTTGGCCCATGATCTAATACCACATTGTTCATCATGAATTTCTTGCAGTTTGTGGACCTTACGGATGCTGCTGCCCGTAATAATGAAGCCCTTCGCCAGGCCAAACAGGAGTCCACTGAGTATCGCCGGCAGGTGCAAGCTCTCACCTGTGAAGTGGATGCACTCAAGGGAACCGTAAGCAACTTCCATGGCTCCAGTACTAGTGAAATGCTTGCAAAAGATGTTGCCTTAAAAGGCCTTATTTACAAGGGCCTCTGAATCTACCCTTTGGTGTAATTATTTTTTCTAGAAATGTTTTCAAACCCTTTCACCCATTGTCATTTTACATTTAGCGACCATACTATTGCTCCAGTACTCGGAATATTTTCAAGATATATTCAGTATTTAAATTTACCTAGTATAGGTCCCAATTCATGTAAATCTTTTCATTTGTTCTTTACTAAAGTACCTGCAGTGTCCGCTTATAGGCCAAACAAAGGGATTAAGATCTTGTACACATTCCTTCATTTTTCGGTGTAGGAAATATCTTTAATCTGAAGAAGTTTACCCTGATGTTTGGTAATGGATTATATAAATGCTGCAAGCTTTCTGGCATATAGCAAAACTTATATGAAATTGTTTTCCAGAATGAGTCTCTGGAACGGCAGATGCGTGAGATGGAGGAAAACTTTGCCCTGGAATCCTCCAACTACCAGGACACCATTGCCCGCTTGGAGGATGACATCCATAACATGAAAGATGAGATGTCGCGTCACCTGCGCGAGTACCAGGACCTGCTTAATGTAAAGATGGCTCTGGACATAGAGATAGCTACCTACAGAAAGCTTCTGGAAGGAGAGGAGAGCCGGTGAGCACACTCTACTCCCTTTTTGGTCCTTTTCATAGGGTCTTGTGGGATGCTTTTTGTACAAATCCATTTTTGTTATTCGTCACTGTTCAAACTGAATGTTAATATACCAGAAACTAGTACTGAGTATGGTAAAGCAAAACTACAATTTGTTCAAATCCTGTAAAATTTCACAAAGGCACCAACAGTTATTGGCTGGTGGCCAACACTTGAGTTTTTAGGATTTTTGGACAAAATGGGGGACTGTACAGCAGTTGTATAGTCCAGGATGCTGCTCTGGTAGTTTGACCTTAAATGAGGCGCTAAAAGGGAAATTTACTATGATCTAATACCTCTCAACATGCTAAATTTAGTTAAATCTCTTAATTAGCAATGCAATGGCCTGACATCCCATCTAGGATGTACTGTGGTTCAGCCTTAGTCCCTGTGATTCACTAGAAATAATCCATTGTTTGAGGGGCTTGATAAGCAGCTTGAACAGATCAAGCTGTTCACAGTTCACATCTGGAATAATAAGGAAAGATTTTAGCCCCTTTGAAGGATTTTTACCTGGTTTATGTCCTGGAACCAAGGCCTAGATTTCTGGGAAGAAAATTGGTAAAATGTTTTTTTTTTCTTTAGTTGTTAATCCCTGTCACTGGAATGGGTAACTGGCATGTGTGACTATGCCAAGCCCATCAAATAAAAACCCAACCTTCATTTCATATCATCATGTAACCTTTCTTTTTCTCCTCCTTGTAGAATCACCACCCCACTTCCTACCTTTGCCTCACTAAATCTAAGAGGTAAGCATTTGTTTGTAATGAAAATGTTGGGGCCCATATTCAAAGATGTGGGGGGAAAATGAGTTCATGGTTATGTCCAAAGTGACTTGGATATGTCCCATTTTATAGCACTTGAACCACAGTGTATTGCACTAAATTAAGAGGTGCTTTCCTCATGGGTGCAACAATAGTTCTCCAAGTGGGGAATGCACTATTTCCATGAGTATGAAAGTGACCAAAAAGTTCCATTATGCTCCACAATTATGGCGACTATCACACCTGTTTTACAATGTGCCGATTAAGGTTAAAGAACTTTGATCTCTTTATCATGGGAATAAAATAATAAATTCAGTGTTTTTACTTGCAAACAAACCTTTATTTCCTTCCTCACTGTCATTCTGCTGCTTGAGGTGAACTGAAGCAGATCTGAATTGTAAGAAACCCACACTGGAAGAGGAGGCAAAACAGGACAGCTGTTTTAAGTATGTCAATAGAGAGGGTGCTGTAGCAGGCTAGGGAATTGGGGAAACTCTGCAATGAGAGTGGACACAAAACACGGTCCAAAGTCTGTGATGAGAAATGACTGAGGGTCAAGCTGGGAAGATGGAAGCCAAGGTCCAAGCAGAGCGGTGGTAGTTGAGCTTGCTGGCATTCCTGACATTGCAGAGAACAAGATGAACATGGGGAATTGCAAGATTGCGGGGTTCCATGCAACACTAAGAGAAAACTTGATCACAAACTTTGTACAAGAGCCTTGAGCATGCAATAAGTCTAAAATGCCTGATGCAGGCACGGATGTAAAAAGCTGGACGATGATGCCAGTTTCCTGTCAGCTAGTTTCCATGGTAACCAGCATGGAGTGATGGATGAGTGCAGGGTAAGGTTGGCTGCCATGGCAAATATTAGTTTGCTCTGCAGAATCGGGCTCTCTCCCCCTGGAGTCTTCCACTCAGCCTGGAAAGTGCCTGCAAAGGAGCAAGCAGAGGTTAAAGCCACACCAAACAGTGTCAAGAATCACTTGAAGCCACAAGTGGAATGGACCAAGCAGACTTTTATATTATAGCCAACAGAAGTCAAGGATAAGTGTTAACTATTACCTCTCTAATTTCTTTCCTAGAAACCAGCCTTGAATCCAGGCCCATGATTGATTCCTTTTCCAAGAAGGTTGTGATAAAGACCATTGAAACCAAAGACGGCCATGTATGTATACGTGATTAAATGAGCAACTTGTTTAAGAATCCAAAACTAAAATTCCCTAATGTGTAATGGGAGGTGGTCCAGGCTCCTGCGTAGCGTAGTTCAGGACCCTATGCAGACGGTATAATCCGGAAGTAAGTGGAATAGGACATCAGAGGAAAGTACAGCAGGACAGGACGGGTTGACAGATAGGGGGGCATGACATCGGTGATCTGGTCCTCGGGGGGCGTGATTCTGGCAAAAAAGTTCAGGCAGTCCAAGGAAAAAATCCAGGGCACAGTCCAAAGTCCAAAACCGGATCATCTATCCAAGGCAAGACAAACACGGTTAAAATCCGGAACAGGGACACCAGACTCTTCGAGCGCCAGACTCTGATGGTCAGGACGCTGTGATGAGGCCTCTGCCATCAGGTCTCTCCTGGACCCGCTGATACATGGGCTTCCAGGTGTCCATCTCCCAGTGCTGAGCCAGGAATAGCGAGAGTGCCAGGTTTAAATAGTGGGGCAAAACAAAAGGCAGGTGCCCATAATCAACTAAAATGCGAAAGGGTCGGAGTGCACTTTAAGAGGAGGGATGCCAATCATGACATAATGTGGAGTCTCTCAAGTGTATAAAAGTCCACAACTTGCAAAGGCATCATATAATTTCCTGGCTGGACAATTCCAACCTTGCTTTCCAAGTCTTGCCAAGCCTAACTTTTAGTGGTTTTTAAGAACTTCAATTTTACTTAGCTTCCTTCTTTATAATGTTATAGTCAAATATGAAAGTATGTACATGACTGCTGTTGTATCCTTAATCTCTGGTCAACACTCTAGTTTGGGTCAGAAGTGACCAAACCTGGCTAAGAGATTAATAAACATGTCCTAGACTGTGTTTTTCCTCCACAGGCATTAGTAATTGGCGGAAGCAGCAGTGTCCCTTCCTTAGAATCACTTTGGTTATATGTAAATTGAGGACCATTACAGCTCAACCTATATCTTGTGTGCCAGCTCCTCTACCTCTATTTCTGCTACTTGGTTCTTGCTGTACCTTCTCAAATGAGTTTTCTTTTTGGCAGGTGATTAATGAATCTACCCAACACCAAGATGACCTGGAGTGAATTGACATGTCCCTACAAAAAAAAAGCTACAATGGAAAAGTTTTGCAAGGATAAATTGAATTACCGAAGCTTTTTTTGAAATGGGGAAAACTGCTTTAAAGTGCCTTTTTTGCAATAATCTGGAGTGCTGGTTAGTAAGCGGAGCAGGTGTTAGATTTCATACCATTCACTGACTAGTTTACATTCAGTCAAGTGCCTTTTCCATTCAGATTAAACAATGCAGAAAGATATTGCTTCTGTATGTCAATAAACTTCGTGGGCAAAGTCATTGTCTCTTGTGTTAATTTGAACGCATGGCACCCAAAAGCCATTTGGAAGAAATGTTAAATGTTGCACAATTTTCACATTCCTGTAACACTAAATGTTAATCTGTAACTTTGAGAAGTCAAATCTACATAGAAAGGTGCAATCTCAAACTCTTCCAAATCTAATTTCACTTTAGGGTACAGTTACCTTAAGGAGAAATCTACAGTATTAAATTTAATGACTTAATTAACCTGTGTGTCAAAAAAGTGACTTGCAAGGATTCTGCAACTGTTTGTAAGGGTAAATGTTTCAAGCTGTAGAGTGTTCTGTAGATATCTCTACAGAAGCAAACCTGCATTTTAAAGACCTTCAACTTCAACCACTAATAGGTTGAAAGCACTCTATCACAACTTAGGTCTTGCTGTTGAAAATGGTTGTTAAAGTGGCTAAGATAAGGATATCCAAATGCTGTTGTAGATGTGGGAAAAGGTGGTGTGATCAAAGGACCAAACTTAAACCTTTAAAGACAGGATTATAAATCCCATATTAACACTATTCCTGCAGTCATGCAGGTTAGTGGCAGCTTTGTGTTTATAGTTCAGCTTTTCAGCAGGGACTGGGAAGCTTCTCAAGAATGAAAGGGTTGTATCAAAGTAATCTCAAATGGGAGAGGGAATCTGCTTCTGATTTAAATCAACGACAAACATTTTGGCATCAAAACAATCCAAAGCACAAGGCCAAAGCTGCCCTGGGGTGATAAAGTGAAACCGCTAGACTGGTTAATTTAAAGTCCTGCCATGAATCCTGTTTAGAATCTGTGGAATGATAACTTGATGACTACTCTCCATAAGTAATCTCCAGGCACTTTATTTCCTTATAGAAATGCATTAAGGAAAAACAGGAACAATGTGTGCAGTTAATTTATAAAGTTAATCTATTCAAATACTCCCAGCAAATGTTGATTGATTTTTTGGGTCTGAATACTTACACAATCAGCATTATTTCAGTTTTTTTTCTCTTCTGTTTTTGCATGGATTTTCTGTGATTTACCCTACAAAATCTTCATTCTGAGCATTCAGGTTTTGAACATATTAAGATTTTAAAAATGTGGTCATCCTTTTACACTTTCACAAACTGGGACACCACAAAAAAGGTCTGAATACTTTTGCAAGTATGCACTTTTGCAAGTAAGCGTGATCTCAAATGGCCTCCTCAGTTTTCCCAAGTTTATTGTTTCTATACTAAATTTTCAGTAGTTTGTACATCATAGAAGCCAAATGCTCACCCTTTTACAGTGCTCTGTCTTGGTAAAACCTTGCTAAGGAAGAGAAAATGTGTGTCTCACTATCACCAGATAGACTCATAAATATACAGAACAAAGCTAACCTGCCAAGATTGGTTATCACATGTTAAAATCCTTATGTATTTCCTCTCCAGTCCATTATAAACCTTCCCTTTATAAAGAAACCCTGTGTATGCAACTGAGACATCTTTTTAACTCCAATATTTTCTGTTAATGTGACAAATTTTAAACCCAGATACCGCTTTGTGTATCCCACTAATGTGGTTAAAACTAAAAATTAATTTACTGAATTGAAAACTGAAGTTTTTCCTGACTGATGCCCCTGAGATCCGGTTCCAGTAAATAATTTGTAATTAGCTGAAGGTGGGAGAGATCTAAGGCAGCCTTTCCTGCCAATAGATCTGCAAACTACATACAGCTTTACCTACCTTCGTCTTCCACAGATTACTAACCATCTTGAATTACTCTAATCTACGTATCTGTTAAGAGAAGGTGGTTACAGGACCCTATGCAGGTTAGAGGTCGAGGTGTCTAATGAGGCAAACAGGAACCGAAGGACTAGAGACAAAAAGTATGGTCAGATAGGAGCAGATCGAGGTTAAAAACTCGGAAAGTCTTGAACAGATTAAACAATTTTAAAGTGGGGACTGCTGAGGGGGCAGTCAGATCGAGGTTGGAGATTCTCCTAATACCGAGCACCAGTGCAATGTGGGTGAAGGTTTAAATAATGGAGCATGATGACATAATGAGCATCAATTGGTGAGTTGTTACAACGATGAGGATCAATTAGTAAGTTGTTACAGTACAGTATACAGTAAGAGTATATTATGTACTCTTCCATTATGTACTCTTCAAGGATATACTGTATTGCAGTGATTTTTAGTAGACCTGGCCATAAGAAAAAATAAATACCTGCTGAAGACCTTAAAAATGTATTAGTTACAGATCTGAACAGTTCTTGCACATTTTGTAACTGACATATTAATTAACAGTAAGTGTAGACTATCATGTTATTTTTGGTACCACCAACTTTAAAGCAGTGAGTTAGTGGCTTTGCTATTAGTGGCATTGCTGAGAAAAAAAAAACAATGGATTAGCCCTAATCCTAGACAGCATGCTGACCAATCTCATTAAGGCTGTGTCAAAAACTGCTAAGAGTATTAAAAGTGAGGGGATTTAAGATGAAGGTATAGAACCTTCTATAAATTGATTCATCTTATACAACCCTGAAAAGTACTTTGACAGTTGAACAAATTCAACTACATGGAGGATGGAAAAACAACATATAGGAACACTCTTTCAAACTATATTGTGGAAAATGATCTCTTGGGAACTTTAAATTGATGAAGATGATATTTCATAATCACATGTAGATACTTAAGAATTTAGGTTATCTTTCTCTTATTCTTTTTTCTTAAATACCACACAGTCAGAATACCACACTTATAATGGATCAGGAAAGAGTTTTCATGGTAATCACAGTATATTTTTTTAATCAGAATATATGAAAGAGCATAAATCTTTTAATTGTCCTTCATAGCTAAGACTCCTACAATGCAAGGTTAGAAATAAATATTCAGGACAGGGTTAGTGAAATAAGGCCCATTTCAATATATTCCAGTTGCAGTATTTTAGGACAACTTTTAATTGGCTAATTCATGAATAAAATTTTAAAAACAAAGATTTATTTAACTGTGTAATAAGGTTAGTATAGGAGATATGGAAGCCATTGCCCAAGCTTCCTCTAAGTCATACTATTTGATGTTAGAGTGTGTTTGTACTCAGTTCTTGCATGCCTGCATCTCTGAATAGTGGGGGATTTGTTATTCCTTTTGTATCCACAGAAGTTACAAGAACTTAGCAAGGAATGCAAGAAAGGACTTTTGTAAGCCGCATGTCACGGATGTCGGAAGGGACGAACCATGGAATGGCAGGAGAGTGAAAAAAGACCCTATGCTTAGCAGCGGGACGGGGTTTAGCCTGGGCTCAGCTGTTAAGAAAATGCCGTATAGAAACTTATGCCCTCAGGCCACAGACGTGGGGCAACCTGGTGCTAGGCGGGTCTCGGGACATCCAAACTTCAATGATGAGTTAGGAAGAAAATGTGACCCGGAAATATATAGCTCCAGACAGAGACACACGGACAAGCAAAGCACAGGAAACTAGGGACAGGACAGATTGCCGTATTACCCTGCAATTCCCAACTGCCAACCCACTGAAGCTAAAGAGGTGAGAGCCTGGTCAGTACCTGAATGGGAGACCCCCTGGAATAACTAAGGTTGCTGCTGGAAGACGTGTTATAATGGGGCCACTAGGGGGTGTTCACCCATTAACTGTGTGGGTCTGTGTGGGTTCTAATGCCCCCGTATAGTGACGGGACAAATATACTGTAAAAAAGACGCTGTCCTTCAGATGAGACGTAAAACCCAGGCCTTGTCTGTTGTCAAAAAATCCCATGGTGTTTCTCGAAAAGAGTAGGGACGTAACCCCGGCATTCTGGCCAAACAACCTGTTGGCCTTTACCAATCGTGAGTTCCTAATAATCGCAATCTCTGAATTGGTTTCATCACTTTGTTCTCCTCCCCACTGATAGCAAGTGTGTGGTGAACGTTCTGCTGCACTATGGCTGCCATTGCATCATCCAGGTGGATGCTGCACATTGGTGGTGGTGGAGGGGAGACCCCATTACCTGTAAAGCACTTTGAGAGTGGAATGTCCAGAAAAGCGCTATATAAGTGTAAGCAATTATTATTATTTTTATTATTATTATTATTCTGATCCATCCATTTAGATTGAAGTTAGGTCACAGGTCACAGTTAGGAAAATCGAGTCTCCCCTCTAGTGGCGAAATGGGATATAACCCCCTCCCATTGCTTGTATAGAATTTGATCCAAGGCCTTCATTCTTTAATGATAAAAGACTGTATGAAGTACTGGCTGTATTGCCACATTACATACTTCATTCCCTTATTAATGTGTAAACCCAAAATATTAAATGAAAATACAATATAAGGCATCATTATTATTACAGGGAGTCGTGGGCTATGCTTGTATCTAAAGAATGGGCAAAACATGAGTAGTCCAGAATTCTAACTGTCAATCTTGTATGTATTACTCGGAAGAAGTTATGCATTTTTCCAAATACTGCACATGTTATCCTGTCTCTCCTGATAGAAGCAATAATAATTCCTGAAAGAAAGATATCCAAAGCACAGATTTGAATTGGCCAACCAGAACCCTGGCAGACAAGATATTGATATTGATATTGTCCGAGGCTAATAAATAGGGCAAAGCAAGAAATAATTTGAGTTTATTAACACTTAGCTGTTTTATTTTTGAGCAACTTGCATTTTTCTAATTCTTTATTGTCATCCATTTCCTCATCTCTTTCCATAATCCTTTGTTTGTATTAATGTTATTTCTAATAAACTCACCTGTTTTAATAAACTAAAGCAGTCCTGATTCGAGTTTATGCAGATCATCCTCACTGCTATCTTGAATTAGGGTTGTTAAGTATTGTGTTAATTATCGCATTAATCTAGGTATGTTTTCAGAGGACATGGTCATATAAAGGTTGGTGTGGTGATTATCAGTAGACCTGTTTTATACCTGCTCTTGGTGTTTCAGTAATCAAGAACATAAGGTTTCGGTCTTGTGGTCGAAAGTGCTTGCAACAGAGTCTAAGGTAAAATCACATGTGGTATTCTCCCAGAATGTACA